AGTGGGTCTGCAGACTTCACTGTGAAAGTATGGGCTTTATCTGCTGGGACATGCCTGAACACACTCACCGGGCACACGGAATGGGTTACCAAGGTAGGAAAACTTAATGTCGGACTTGTGGGTAAGGGATAGAGCATGATAGGTGCTGCCTTATGTTGGTAGATGAACCAAAAGATGAACAAAGCATGATGGTCTTTACCAGTGTAAGGCAGTCAGTAAATAGTTTCAAATGAATGAGCAGCTTGCAGACCTGGAAAGGTACCAACAATGGATTAGGTGGATAGAGTAGGGCAAACAACCATTTACAGACTAGTATGTATGGTATCACTTCCTATTTGTGTTTATGTGTTAAATGTAATAAGTAACAGGCTGATTAAGCAAAAATGTTGGTAGCTTTAATTTGTATGTTAGGTGGCACAGGACAGGACAGGTTACACATGTGTTGTTCATAGGGTTTGTATGAGTCACACTTGATGGCACTTAACAACAGTAAAGAGAAAAGCACACAAAAAAGATAGGCCTTAAAGGTAAAGCCAACTGAGCTATCAGAATTTTTGCTAAAAAAATGAGAAAAGATTTTTAAAAAATATTTTTATCGGATAAAAAAGGAGGAAGAGATGACTGATGGGTTTTAGACTGCTTAGGTGACTCTCTCTTTTTTCTGAAAGCTGTTGTTGTGTTATCAAGTGCTGTCAAGTCAGCTACCACTCACAGCACACCTATTAACAATAGATTGAAACCTTGCCCTGTCTTGCACCATCTTCACGATCACTGCCATACTCAAACTCAATCTAGTTACTGGCATTACAAGAGTAGTTTGAGAGCTCAGTAATTCTGTATTGGGCATATTGTGTTTTTATTTATTTATTTTTTATATTAGAATTTTTTAAATTTTATTAGTTTTAATGAACATTTACAGGGATTTTGGGTTTTCATTCCTTCATTACATATTGTGTTTTTAAATAGAAGTATGTTACAAGGTAACTTGGTGTTATGGAAAAAGTAGTGGGCTGTGGAAAAGTTACTGACCCTATCAGGGCTTGAGTTTTATCACCTACTAAATGTTCCTGTGAATTTTAAATGAGAAAATGGAGTAGCATCTAGTAAGGTATCTTACACTTTGTAGCAGATTCTTTCATTTTCCATTGAGTCTGCTTCTCTGACTTCTAAATGAGTAAAAAGACCCTTTTGCTCGATTTGTTAAAAAATTAAGTAAAAATTAATGTTTTCAGATTATTGCAAATGCTGGTGGAATGTTAGTTTTTATTACATCATTCTTATTAATTACAGTTTTCAGTTCATTCTCACTGCAGTTAGTTGAAATAAGGTAATGGGTATTTCATTCCATGTATTAAACATGAGGAAACTGAGGAACAAAGAACTTAGAAGATCTTTGATGGTTTAGGCGGTTGTATATGAGAGATTTTGGTCCCATGTCCAAGGGGATTTCCCCCTCCCCATTGTAACACATTAGCTTATGAAAACATAATTTTATCAACTTTAATTTCCATGGGTTTTTTTTTCTTTTTGATTGTTCACATTTTATATAAAGTCACAATCCATAATTTTAAAATTCATCCTAATGTTTACTTCTAGACAAGAACAATGAAATGCAGCCAGCATTAGACAGTATAGATCCTGCTGATAACTTAGACAATCTGATTGGAACAAAAATATCAGTAGAGGTTTAATTTACTAAAGTTACAGTTATAGCTTAATATAGCATACCATAGTATTTCAAGCCCTTTTTGTAAATTTTAAATTTTTTGTAACAAAAGTAAAATGATAGGAAATGCATGCAAAAGATCTTTGTTTAATATAGCTATTTTATTTGTAGGTGGTTTTACAGAAGTGCAAAGTCAAATCTCTCTTGCACAGCCCTGGAGACTACATCCTCTTAAGTGCAGACAAATATGAGATTAAGGTGAGCTCCTCCTGTCCCTTAACTCCTTCCATAATTGATGGCAGAAAAAGAAAAAGTGGCAGATATAGTAAATTTAAGATGGTATGATTAAGGGTGAATATCTAAAGGTGAGTGAGAATGTCTTAGTCCACATGGTCTTAAATACATTAGAAGAGGAGATTAGTCTTAGCTTTTATGTTGTTGACATTTATTAACTATGATTTACATACTGATGAAAGTTTGGTGGCCTAGTGGTAAGGAGCTGCACTGTCAGCCTAAAGGCACACAGTTCAAACCTACCAGCTGATCTGGAGGAGAAAGATGAGCAGTCAACCCCCATTTGATTAACTGCCTCTGGAAACCTGCTGACGGGTCAGCTATGAGTCGATACTAACATGTCTGTATACAACAACACATCAGAAGATTTCAGATTTTCACTAATTTGTCATTGATTGCAGTATCCTATTTAAAAGAAACCATAAATTTATCTTCAGCTTAAGAATTATTCAAGCACATACCTCCTGTCCTCCTCAATTCATAGCTTTAACTATGAAAACTTACATGTAAGTATGAATCCTGTGATCTTTCCAGTATACTTTACTTTCTATCTGACTTCAGTAAAGTGAGCCACAGTGTTTCAGGGCAAGCTTTTATATGGTCATGTGAACGCATTTTAATTTTTTTTAATGTGTAGATTTGGCCAATTGGGAGAGAAATCAACTGCAAGTGCTTAAAGACATTGTCTGTCTCTGAGGATAGAAGTATCTGCCTGCAGCCGAGACTTCATTTTGATGGCAAATACATCGTCTGTAGTTCTGCACTAGGTCTCTACCAGTGGGACTTTGCCAGTTACGATATTCTCAGGTAATGTTTCCTTGAACTGTACTTTTAACCTTATGAAAGTAAATTATAGTTCAGAAGTGAGGACAAGGCTAAATAACAGAATGTACTAGTCAGTAATTTGACTTTAGGTAATGTTTCCTCCACCTTTATTAACAGGGTATAGATAGTGAAAATGTCTTTGGGGAAAAATGTTTTGGAAACAGTAGGCAAAAAAGGAAAAAAGTGTGTCTTGAGAAATCTAAATTTTCATCCCTTCCTAGGCAGCTCTAGGGGCCTATTGGATAGGGAGTTGCATTCCCAACCCAAAGTGAGTGATTCAAATCTACCAGCCACTCTGAAGAAGAAAAACCTACAGTCACCTTTTGTGCAGTTCACAGTCTCTGAAAACCTAGTGGAGGATCGGTTCTGAGTTGGTTCTGATGTGACAGCATTTAGTGAGCAAGAATCCCTTCCTCCTTCGGAGTTGTGACTTATTTCCATTTTTAGAGTCTAGCATGATTTTCTAGAAAATGAGAGGCTCAAATAAAACACTCTCAGGAGCAATGATTTCGTAAATTATTACCTAACTTGGGAAGGACTGGAGAGCATCATGCTGAGTAAACTGACTTAGTCCCACAAGTCTAAATAGTGTATAAAACCATTATTGTATAATGAGTATAAGGGTCCAACAGGGTTGGGAGAGGTTGGAAGCAGAGGGATGAAGATGTGCAGGGGGAGGGGAAGATTAATCATGGGGTTGTACAATTTGATGGGTGAGGAGGTGAGGGAAATTGAAAGAATTTGTTCTTGAAAACAGTGTATTCGTATTTTGTAAATTAACTAGTAGAAAATTTTAAAAAGTATATAAAGAGGTATGGAGATAGAAAACACACACATAACACCCCCCCCCTTTAGACTTCCAGTTCTTTCTTTTTAAGTTCTCATCTCTGATTTGTTGAAATTTTGCATTGCTCTGCAAACCTAGTTCGCTAAACCAAGATCAGATAGCTTTCTCACTGACTAGTAAATAGACCAATATTTAGAGAGAAAAATAAAGCTGGAAGTTTCATAGATGAAAGTTTCTGTTTCACGACATGATGAAGACATTTCTTGAAAATTTATACTATCCATTAAGATATTGAAGGCTGATGAAAATAGAATGAAATGAAATGATCATAAAGGATCTGGCATAGTACAAGACCAGGCTTTAATACGAGACATTCCTTTGAGTAGGCTCCGACTTACATTGACCTAGGACATCGCATTAGACTATCATACTGTTTACAAGGTTAATCCTGACAGACCACTACATCTTTTTTTTCTATACTGAATGATGGTTTAAACCATCAGTCCAACATTTTGGTTAGAAGCCAACTGCTTAGCCACCGAGCTTTGAGGACTTAAAACTCTGAGAAGCCATGTATAGAGAAACTTACCTGAATTTGGTTACTATAGCTTTATTTCATACTCCTGTTAACTCAGTGAATTAATGTTCTGCAGAATGGTACAGAAAATGTTGCCTTGAGGGACTACAGTTTCACTGTTGTTTTTGTGCTTAACGGAATGCAATTTAAGATCTATCATAGTCAGTAGGATTATGTATTCTTGGACTTAGACTAACCTGTCTTAGCAGTTAGGTTTTAGAATTGTCAGAATCATTTCTAGAAATGATTGATGATTTGTGCTTTGGGGAGAGGAGAGACACTGGAACAAATCCTAGGAAACATTAGTCCGAGCTCTTCATTTTATATGTGGAAAAGCTAAGCTTTTTAGAGAGCACTGGTGGCCTAATCGTAAGGAGTTTCACTGCCAACTCAACAACATGTGATTCAAATCCACCAGCTGCTCTGAGGGAAAAAGATGGGCAGTTTCCTCCCCAGTTATTTACAGCCTCTGAGGATCAGTTAAGAACTGGTTCCAACTCAGTGGCACATAACAACAAAGTCCAGAGAGGATTAAGGCTTTTCCTAGAGGTACTGCAGCTCATCTTCCTAGTCTACCCAGGTAGGTATATGTTATATGCTGAAAATACCAGTCAGCCAGAAGTGTCAAATAAACGAGAGATATAAAAACCCTTAAAAACATATTTGACGAGGGAAAAAACCCGCAAATAATTGCCAAAGGAAAAATCAGACTTTTTACACAGTTTATTGTTTTTGTTTTGAATTAATCTTTTTTGAAAGTAGGGCATAGGATGTTGTTGTTAGGTGTCGTAGAGTTGACTACGACTCCTAGCAGCCCTATGAACAACAGTTCTCACCCTATCCTGTACCATCCCCATGAGCTTTGTCATACTTAAGCCCATTGTGAGGCAGTCACTATGTTAGTCCACCTTGTTGGAGGTCTTCCTCTCCTTCGCTGCCTCTCTACCTTTTCCAACATGACTGAGTCCTATGGGGACTGTTTCCTCCTGAAACTGTGTCCAAAATAAATGAGAGTTTCACCATCCTTCCATCACTTTCTCCGAGACTGACTTATTTGCTTTTTTAGAAGCCCCTGGGGAGTTCACTGTTCTCCAGTACCACATTTAAAAGGCGTCAGTTTTCCTGTTATACTTATTCATTTTCCAACTTTCAGATGCATAGGAAGCAATGGAAAAGACTATTACTTGCTTCAGGTACACCTTAACTCTTTAAACTGACATCTTTTCTATTTAGCACTTTGGAGGTATTTAACCTTGTCAAAGGCATGGCATAGGCATGGCTAAATATACTGTTATACTGTCAAGTGGATTCTATTTCATAGCAAACTTAGGAAAGAGTAGAATTGCCTTACAGTAGAACATCTGTAGAGAGCTTTATAGAAGCAGACGGCCACCTCATTCTCCTAGAGTGAGTGGCTTTTAATGGTTGAACTTTTAATTACCACCTCAGGGCTTGACTGCTCTGACATTAGAACTTGTAGGTTGTCTATACCAGAACCCAAACCCTCTGCTGTCCAGTTGATTCAGACATATGGAAAACCTTCATCTGGTTTCCAACACTGTAAATCTTGATGGGAGGAGACTACCCTTCATTTTGCTGCATAGTAACTGGTAGATGTGTATTGCTAATCTGACAGTCTAAATTGTAACACTTTCCTCCACTAGGGCTCGTTAGGTTGCATGTTATTGTTTTTTGTACGTAGTTGAGTCAGAACTGACTCATAGCTGAACTTCCAGTGGGTTTTCAGATGCAATAAATTGCACAGGAGGAGGCTGCCCTCTCACAGAGCAGCTGGTAGATTCAAACTGTGTGCCCTTGGATGGCAGCACAACTCCTTAACACTAAGCTACCAGAGTTTCCTTAGGTTGAATATAGGCATCTTAATTTTATGTTGTATCTGTTTTCTCATATATATTTTCTACTCTGATATATACAGAGTCCAGAGTTTCAGGTAAAGGAAGGTTCTATTGTTTTTTGGTGTTTGGATTACAATTCATAGTGACCCTTTGAACAAAAGATTTGAACCCTGTTCTGTGCGGTGCTATGCTCACACTTTGTGACACACAAGAGCCCATTGCTGCAGTTACCGTGTCAGTCCACCTGACTGAGGGTCTTCCTCTTCTTTGCCAACCTTTACCCTTCCCAACATCATAGTCTACTCCAAGAAAAAGACACTCCTGGAAACATGGCCAAAGTATGTGAAGCAAAGCCCCATCATCCTTGCCTCCAAAAAGCACTCGACTCTATCCTCTCCAAGACATATCTGTTTGTTCTTTTGGCCGTCCATGGCATGTTCAGTGCTCTTCTACAACACCATAGCTCAAAAGGCATCAGTTCTTTCTCTGTCATTCTTATTCATTGTCCTGCTCTCAGATGCGTAGCAAATAATCAGAAAGACTATGACCTGAATCAGACATACCTTAGTCCTCAAACTGACATCATTACTTCCCAGTAATTTGGAGAGGTCCTTAACTGCAGATTTTCCCAGTGCAGTGCATCTCCTTACTCTTGACTCCTGGTACCAAGAGTGTTAATTGTGAATTCAAGCAAGATGAAGCTGTCGACAGTTGCAATCTCCTCTCCATCAATCATGATGTTGCCTGTCAGTTCAGTGGTAAGAATTGTCTTCTTGACATTGAGATGCAATCTATACTGAAGGCTGCATTCCTTGATCTTCTGCAACAGTTGCTTGAAGTCCTTCTCACTTTCAGCAAGCATTGTTGTATCATCTGTATTATGCAGGGTATTGATGAGTCTTCCTCCAATTCTGATGCCATATTCCTCTTCATAGAGTCCAGCTCTGATGGACTGATGTGTCAAATGTCATAAGGGTTACACATGGTAGACAGATTTTGGTGGAGCTCTCTGATTAAAACAGACGAGGCCATCTACTTCCTAAATAACTGGCCTTTGAAGATCCTATAAACACTAAAGGAATGAGGATAGTTATAGTAGTGTAGTGTTAGAGCCCAGATTGGAAGTCAGTTAAAATAAGAAACAGTAGTAAACACCGTTTAATAATCAGAACATGGAATGTACATAGCTTGAGTGCTGGAAAACTAGAAATTGTTAAAAATGAAAAGGAATGCATGAACCTTGACATACAAGGCATTAGTGAGATGAGATGGACTGCTTTTGCCACTTTGAATCAGATAAACATATGGCATACTTAACAATACACCTGTAAGATAATTTGCTAGTAGAAGGTACTAGTTTTAGTTTTTTCTTTGAAAATGGACTCTTTTATCTGGTTTTGCTTGTGTTTTTCTCTCTTAAAAGTAAACTTCTTTTTTTTTTTAAGTTTAGGTTGTTTATTTTTCATTTCAATGAACATCTACAGAGATTTTGGGATTCCATTCATTCATTGTTTTTTTTTTATTTTATTAAATTTTATTAGTTTTAATGAACATTTACAGGGATTTTGGGTTTTCATTCCTTCATTGCTGCACCATTCTCTCTACTCTCCTCCCCAGTTTGTTCTTCTTCCCCGCCATCCGAATGTCTGTTTTAATTGTCCAATTGCCACAGTGCTTGTCAAAGTCAGTTCTGATTAATCTCCTTTGTCGGTGTGTCCTTTGCCATTCCCTATCACTCCTCCCTGAGAGAGACTTCACCCTG